AAACTAAAAAATAAAGAAGCAAAGTGGGGTCAGGGCTCGTAGAAAAAGGACATATTGTTGTTATTCACAATTTGTAGACAAATATAATGTTGTAAATTGTAAATGTTGATTATTATTTACAATCAAGGTAGGTTAGGTAGCTATAGTAGTAAACTTGCTGAGGTTGATTAAAATTCTACCTTTACACAGTTTTGTGATGCTAACTATTAACTAAACCAGAAGCTGTCTAATCAATTAATTCAAGATCGTTTAACAACTCAAAGGTCTGGCCTTTGTTTTAGATTAAACATAATTAACACACGGTACTCTGTTATAAATTATTGCAGGAAATTATTAGTCAATTCTAATTAATTATAACACATCATTATATAATTTATGTTATTTGAATTTTAGTATTTCAATACCGCTAGATTTATTTCAAATTCCAATATTTGTAATCGTTGAAACAGTTTTTGTAAAACTATACTTATTTAGCAGTAGTGTGTGGAATAAAATAATCTAAACACCGCTTCCTAAGTAACGCATGTACACGATAAATTGCAAAAAAAAAAATTAAACTGTTGTGTAAATAAATGAACATAGTTACAATACAAAAGCCTATTAGAATTCTGTTTTTCTGGTCGAAGTATAAGCCCAACCATAAGTCGCAAGCAGTATATTTAGTTTCAAAAGCTGAACAAGTCGATTGTTGTCCAAGAACCTCTTACCAACTCTACAATTTAAGTAAGTATTTCTGTTAAACTCGTAAATGTTTAATTATATAACAGTAATAAGGAAACAGTAATAAGGATTTTTTATGATCATAACTTAAAAAGTTTGAGCAGTACAAAGATGAAAAAAAGAAACTTTGTAGGGAACTAAATTCATATAAGTTAACAATTTTATTTTTTATTTTTTTTAATCGTTAAAATTAAAAACAATTTTTTTTTTACTTTTACTTAATTTTTAAGAAAAATATTAGTCAGTTTTTTCCAAATAAAAAAAATTGAAAATAAAACCACAAAAAAAAATTAAAATCGGATTACAGAAATTTGCAAATAATGATTTCTATATTTATAAGAGCGTAGCTGCGGCCTAGAAAATAAATGCCTATATTTATAATAAAAACACATTTTAATGCTAAAACGTTAAAAAAATCTATTTTCTTATTAGATTTTGTAAAAAGCATTTATAATTTATTGATTGTTTGATACTTGCATACACATTTAAAATTTAATATAAATATTATATAAAAAATAGGTTGTCATTATCCGCGTATTTAGTTTTTTTGTTCATCGTTAAAAAAAATTAGTCTCAACCTTATCAAGCTCAGCAACATTTTTTGTTGTAAAACATTTTTTTTATCAGTTTTATGTTTTATTGTAATCTATATAAAACGTACAAAATATTTTTAAAAAAGTTTTAGAATTATCTTGTAAAGTTCTTGCTAGTACACTATAGTGTAGCCTAGGTCTAAATGGATGTTACTATAGATTAATACATTTATTTATTTATTTAAAGTAGGTACACTATATTAACCCGGGGGTCTGACAAGGTTAAGTGAAGAAAAATGTTCAAAAAAAAACTCTAATATTCCCTTTAAAAATTAAGTTAAAATAATGAGAAATTTTTGCACGTTTATAAGTTTTTAATTTTAACGATTTTCAAACAAAACTTTAAAAACAATTTTGTACACAGAAAATCTATATCATTTTGCTAAATAATCCTTTTTTGACTTGGACGAAATCTCTCTATACATAAAACTCTCGTGTCACAGTGTTTGTATAAGAAAACGATTTATAAAATTTCATCATTTCAATACATCATAGTATATTGTTTGAAAATATATGTTAAAATTTTTTATAACGGTAATAACTATATTTATAAGGATATTATTTTAAAACGGATTTGACATTCTCTCTAAAATGTTATCTTCGGAATAAGTCTACTTTACCGGACACCCTTTTTTCAGTTTGTTTTTTAATTACTAGTATTTTGCATGCCGAATACGAATATGTAAACATTTTGCCCCGCTCGCACTTAGTTAAGAAGTTACAGACTTTTAAAGTTGGCCGATATCGACATACGCGCTCGCCCGGCACCGTACGTCTACCCGCGCCCGCTGGGTACTTGGTCCACGATTATGATCGGATTCCTCGTCAACCTGATTCCAACTTTAAAAGTCTGTAACTTCCAAACTAATTTCGAGTGGGGCTTGTTCCCCTAATTTCTATTTTGAATAGTGTAACCTAAGTTTTATACTATGCAATTTAAATAGTCAAATAACTTATTTTTATTTTTGTCAATCCTTAGTATAGTGAAATTACTGTATAATTGGCCAAATAATCAACCTTTCTAGTTTGATTACTATCTTATATACAAAAAAATCAGTTAGTGGTTTTGGAAATATTGTGGGCCAGGTAGAAAAGTGTTAATACATATATATGTATTCATAACCCATTAAAACGGCCTCGCAAAATTATAACCTTCTCATCTCTAAACCGGAGGTAACTATGACTAATATATAATGTTTTTTTATTTATTATTATTCGCAGATAAAAATGAAACTCTTCTGTTTATTAATATCTTTATTCTTTATGGAAGTTTTAGCACCTTATGGTAGTTATTTTATTATCACAGTTATAAACTTAAAGAAGTTAAATTTGAAAAAAATCAATATTACACTTTTTTACAGATCGTTATATGGAATTAGTTCACATTACAAGTCAGTAACATTTTTATTTTTAAAACAAATATTTTATAAGTTTTTAAAATTTACTGTTTTTATACATATTTTTAAAATTGTGTCACAGCTATTGGCATCAAACTTGCTTATGAAAAGAATGATTTAACTATAGGAGGTAGATCTGAAGCAAGTAAGATGTAATATTTTAAATAATATGCTAATATATAAAAAAGCTTTGTATTTGATTTAATTTTAATATTTTTGTAAAGCATAAATCTTCATTTGTTTATTCTAGATGGATTGGAGTATCTAATAGAGACAATGGTTGATAATGTCAATAATGACCTGACCTACCAAAATTTCCGTAATCATAGTTATAATAATAATAAAAAACAAAAGATAAGAGTAGAAAAATATAATTGAAAATTATATAAAAACTTCATCTCATATTCACTTTATGCAACTGATTAGTTTTATAATTATTATATTTTTTACCGAAGTTTGAATAGAAGCTTTATGAAAAAATACTGATGAAAGCTCTATCAACCTCGTTCGATTAATATATTTTATTCTCATCGCATAAAATACATCAACTAGTCTATATAATATAGTATTTCTACTTTGACTTTTGCCTTAAAAATTATATATATATAATGTTATAACTACTAATTCACTATAGCAAATTCAATTCAATATTATTTATTAATTAAAATTTCAGGCCATATTAATTTTTTGACAGCTGTACCGGGTAATACATTTTGTTAAATTTGATAAAATTATTTCTAATATTTCATTCCTATTGAATTCGCCAAAGAGACTATCATCGTATTGAATATACAGTGAAACATACTTCTTCCAAATTACTAGCACACATGTTTTTTCTTTCTTGAAATTCATCATCCTTTTTATAATAGAATAGAAAAATCAATGCAATTACATTAATTTTTGTGTTGTTAATTTCAGATCATCCACAAATTCTCACGAGAAGAACAGGTAATACATTTCATTGCACTTTATGGAAGCGTTTCCAAACAGTTGTTTAATATTCTTTATGCACACGAGATTTTTGTATTAACTTCCAGTTCACCTAATGCAAAATAAAATTTTTTTTTCATATATTATATATTTATTATACTTATTGCATATTTATTATTTATAATTACTTTGAGAATAATAATATGTCCTATTGACAAATACCAATATGATATATCGGTCTCAATAATAAAATATATGGGGGTACATTAAAATGTATTTTGTTTTAAACTTTAGAAGTCTATGATGATTTATTCGACAAAATGATTCAAGACATAGAGAGTAAATTAGGTAAATATAAAAAAGAATGTATTTTTAAATTTAAAAAAAAACTATATATGTTTTATGTTTAAGATTTTAAAAAATCATTCGAAATAAAATTTAAACCGTTTGTTTAAAAATCGTTATACAATATAAATTTACATTTATACAATAATACTGCGCAATAATTAATATTGATCTAATTGACCTAGTGGATGTTATGTATAAAATATATAAACCGGGACTTATTAACAGCAGATTAATTAGATGTTTGATGTGTTTGTTACAGGAATTGATATGCCAGGAGATTATTTCGGTGGTATGTACGATTGGTCTGATATTCATAAATAGCCTTTAAAAATTGTTTTAGAGTTGATCTTTGCTTAATTTTATTTATTATATTTTTTGTGTCAAAAAAGAATTGTAATAAATTCAACTTTTTGTTGAGGAAAGACGGGCAGAATGTGAGACTACAGTGTTAATGTGTAATGAATTATTCGGGATTTGAATTATAGAAAAAGTAGGAGGTTCAACAATAATATATGGTTGTACAAAATGTTAGTTGTATCACAATTATGCGAATAATATATTATTTATCTTAATTATGTCTCCTTAACACGGTCTTTTAATAATTATTGTCATAGTTGAGGAAAAATTGGAAAACCTTGCAAACATGAGAAGAGACTTTGTTGCTTGGTCTTTAAAAAGTATAATCAGACGTCGTATGCTAGGTAAATATTATTATGGAGTTGTATGGTTTTTGAACGCTATTAATATATTTTTATATATTTAAGTTATTTGATAGGACAAGGATACAAATAATTTGAGATTTTAACAATTAACTAAATAAATTATAATTACTAATACGTACTTTCATGTAATACAAATATCATGGATGTTCAATACGACACCATGCCTATTGTATAATTTTTTATGACTTCGTATAACCTAATAAAATAGTTTTTTGTACCATAAGGATAAGTAGTATCTAGTAAGCTATTATTAGCAAATTAAAAAAGAAATGTTTCAAATTTTTAATCAGGATCTGTACAGGATGTTATATCGTTACCCAATTGTCGTTTGCTCGGAATATACTGGAGTACACTAAGTCCAGAATCATACATAAGCGAAGTTAACATTGACTCGCCTAGCCGTACATGTATCATAACAAGTTGTTCTGCTACCGAAATGACATTCAGGAAAATCGGTGCTACATGGTCAGTTTTTAGCTCATATGGCCTTGACAATACACTCGAGTATTACTTACAACACGGACGTCCACAAACTGCACCCACATACTAACCCATTGTCAGAAAAACACTGGCATCCTTATTTTGTTCTTTACGTAATATATTATAGTTCATCATATTATTATCACTATATACACTATAAAATCAGAAATTTTAAAATATTATACATATATTTAAGCTGACGGGAAAACAACCGTCTTAGGATTTTTTTAATAATATATTTCACATAATACATTTTTTGTATAGTAAGTACGTAATGCTATAAGCCTATTTCTGTATCATGTCAGGTCTATCAAAAAAATAAATAATTACCGAATAAGTAAAGTTGTATTTTTTTTTCATATAATCTATTCCAACTATTTATTACTGCTTCTAAATCCTTTCCTTGTATTTCTACCTTTATTAAATGATTGTGCAAATTTGGTTGACAGGTTCATCGTTTATATTTCTGATAGATAATTCATCTTAATGGTTATTATATAGAGATTGGATGCTATAGATTATATTATTTAAATTTAGTTCTAATGTTGAATGGCTAAGTAAAACAGTGTAGAATATATTATTTGTATTGTATAGTCAATTGTGGAAAAAAAATGTCTCGTTGGTCAACCACAATGGTATTGGTTTGGATTCATTGTGATTGAAATAAGAAAAATGTAGAGTACGAAAACTAATCCTTCATAATATTTGATATCGAAAAAGAATGTCTATTTCAAACTTTTTATAGACTAACTCTTTTTGGTTTTTTTTATAGAATTTTATTTTTTTAACTATTAAATTTTTTTTTAAATATGTAATATTTTCTGTGTTGGAGGATGGTACAAAAATCAATTGTAAAAATACCTATTTGATATATATTTTATGTCAACATAAACAGATCATTCATTAAGTACATTAAATATATTTTTTTTAATAATTGTAACTTTTAGTTTTCCTTTTTAAAAACATTAACAATTAAGTATTTTAGAAACTATTATGTTACGAATAAAGCCTAAATGGATATAATATATATTATTTAACAAATGTTATTCAAAGTATATAGAAACAGTTTTATTAATGTGTGACGCAAAGGCAATGTTATATGTAAAAAACAGAACGTTCATGTTTCTAATAAACACCAGAGGCGGATAAAATATTTCGCTAGCAAAGAACAATTTTGGTTAGCGTAGTATCAAAAAATTGTCCAATATTTCAAATATGCCTTATATTATTAGAACCAAATATTAAATATATTATTATACAGATCTTTGAATCAGGAAATCATTGATGAATAAGTTTCTTAAAAAGAAACCCGTTTAAATAACTAAATATATTTGGCACAAAATGTACCTTGTGATAGCTAATAATTTAAATAAATTAGTACCTCCTCCTTAAATACAAAGTAGGTCCAATTAAATATCTGGTTATTAAAAGATCACAATACATTTGTTGCTGAAATAACTAATTCACATTTGTTCCTGTAATAATTTAGTTTGGCCGATTCTTAATTTAGTTATTTCCGCTATAAATTTATCGTGTCCTAATAATATTATCCCGTATCTTAAGTAGGACCAATAAACAATAAATAAAATATATAATACATATCGATATGTTAAGTATATGTGTGTTTAATTACTTAAAGTTTAAAAGTGTTATTTCACTTTTAAAATGATAAAGTATTTTTAAATTATTTTATTGAATTACATTTTTAGCTGAATAACTAAATGTATAATTGACTGATATTTGTTTTGAATTTGTGGATCTATCTCATTATTCTTACTGCCTAAATGGAAAACGGTTATCGGCAATAGTGTTCCACAGTAACTAAAATAAAATAATAATAATAATTATCGAATGACGAATTTATAGCAACTAACTCAACTATTGAAAATTGATGATCTTATATATTATACCTTAGAATATAACAGCTATGAGTTTACTGAAAATTGAATATGACTCAACATTCGACAATGTATTGATGGAATTGGTTTAGACTGATTGACTACAATAGTTTAATATACCAAACTTGCGGTTGGTAGTAGTGTTGCAGACAATAACAATTATCAATTTAAGTAGAGATAGTCCATATTAATATTAACCATACTGAAAACAAATGGATAAAAAATTTAAATAAGCTTCTTAGATACTTAAATAATTATATGGTAAATAAACAAATATTACTATACACATATATTAGTTATAATTATACAAGTAAGTAAATAGTAGTAGTAAGTTAGTTGCGGGCAGGGAAAGGGCACAAGACATATTCGTATTACAATGTGTTTCCTGTGTATTTTCTATCGAAAACAACTCTAAATTACTAGAATATTACACATATCTGGGTTTTTTATAAACCTATGTATTTGTACATGGCTTATATGGTTTGATGTAATTTATTTTTGGTGTTAAGTAAAAACAAGTTTATTTATTAATTCCCTTCAAGAAGCATATTATGATTAGAGTATTAAATTGGGGTTAAAATGGGGTCGATTGCTTGTCCGTAGTTCCGGGGGGAATCTTGCAATTCAAAAAGATTTATTTCTCACTCGTCAGCAAAAATTATGCGTAGTGCGTTTGAGCGTGAACAGTGCTCAGAAGTGACCGGTACCAGGTTCAAACCCGTCGTTTCCATCAAAACACTTTTTTGCGTTTTCTTACAACTTTTATTCAACCTTTATGATAATTTATACTGTAATAAATCGAAAATTTTAAGCTTTTAAATTAAAATATATATACATATATATATAAATAATATGTGAATTAATTATATGACATTGTACATTTCAATATATAGATACTTACTTACGAAAACGAAAAAGAACAAAATAACTAAAGTAGATTAAAAAATTAATCTAAAAATAACGTTTGTTCCTGTAATCATTTAGTTGGGCCGATTATTTATTTATTAATTTCCGCTAGAAATTTATCGTGTCTCTATATTATCCCATATCTTAAGTAGGACATTATTTAACAGATATTATTCAAGCTCCCTAGAAATAGTTTTATTAAAGTATGACGCAAATGGCAATGTTATTTGTATAGTAACAGACCGTTCATATTTCTAAAAAACACCAGAGATGGGTAAAATATATCTCTAGTAAAAAACAACTTTGGTTTGCGTTGTAAAAAATATTTGAGATGTTTCCGATATCATTAGAACCCAATAATTAAAAATGTTAAATATATTATTATACAGAGCCTCAAGTCTAAGAATAAGTATCTTAAAAAGAAACCCGTTCAAATAAAACACAATAAATTAAGCACAAAATGTACCTTGTGGGAGCTAATAACTCAAATAAATAAGCAACTGACATGGAATTTTGAGAATTTCGTTCGTATTTTATATTTTTTTATGTATACAGTTGATCGCATAAGATGCCTACATCGTATTTTGTTGTTGGGGTTTTTTTAAGCATATCTAGTGAATACATTGGGTGATTGTGTACACTGCACGGTATAGCTGAGTCTTGAACACAAAAACAACTGCTATCTTAACACAGAACCAAAATTAACAGTGAATACTATTCGACCTAAATTTAATTTTTAGCAAAAAAAGATTTGTTAAATTCAAATTTCTTATACTTTTGAAAGACATCATAAAGGCATAGCCCTCAATAACTTTTTTAATCTGACGAAATTCTCAGGGAGCTCTAAGAGTTTTTAAATTGCCTGAAGATTTCTAGAACTCCCCCCTCCCATTTAAGGAGCTGATGGGTAATGTTTTAGGAAAACATTTTTCCTATAAACTCGTTCCTCTAGAAGGCAAAGAAAGGATAGCAGTTTTGGGGATTTAAGTCTGAAAAAAATTAATCTAAAAATAACATTTTTATGCGCTTTGGAGAGAATTCTATAATAGATTTTGGTTTTTTTCGATATTTGGATTGAAGTGTACTAAAGGATGTGTAGTGAAAAAGGGCAGTTTTATAATATTAATAAGCACATTCTATGATGAATATAATACAAATTATTTATTAAATATTTCAATACCCTCCCTCAGTAAATAATTTCTATAGGTCGACTTTCTCTTTCAACTGACTGACTCCCATTGCTGACCGTAACATCTCAAATCGTTGTTTTGGCAATGGTTTAGTTAGGATGTCTGTAACCAGGGTTCTGCATGTCAATATACTGTAGTTGAAATTGACCTTCCTCGTACTTCTCTCGAATAAAATGATACCGCGTCTGAATGTGTTTTGTTCGTCGATGAAACTCCGGATTTTTCACTAAACGTAAAGCTCTTAGTAGAACTATTAGTGTTTATTAATCAAAACACGATTAAAATTAATTAAAGTTTGTAATACCTCTTAGATATACGTTTTAAATTAAGAAAAAGTTATCAGAACTTTCTAGAAGATGTTTTTCGGGATTATATACAAAAAAAAATATTTTCATCATCCTCGTTTTTCGTTTTTTTGTTAATTGTTAAAATACAATTTAAATAGTCAACAGAATCATTCAAGTTAGATTATTACCTTACAAAAAAACCAGTTTAACGATCTAGGAAATATTATGGGTCTAGTAATAAATGTATATATATATACATTCTTTACTGTGTGCAATTTGGTCCAACTTGAGAGATTAAAATTTTAGTGAAAGTTTATTCCAAAAGATGGCGCAATTTGAACAAATATCACAGCTGACAGCTAATCAGCTGACATATGGACGGTTGACAGCTGATCATATTTATTTATAGTTTCTGGCCAAAAAGAAATGGTTTTACATATCAAATTTTATAGTTACCATTTTAGTCTTCGATAGATTACCACCTTGACTGTAACATTTCAAAACATAGCCCAAAGAATCAGGACAACACAGAGTCCTGTACATGAATCTCGAAAACAAAACTATTGTTGATAAAAACAAAACCGTAAATTTGATAGTGACAGCAAACCAGTCGGGCATTAACACGTTTACCATTTTTTCCATAGGGATGGGGATAGGAATAGAGATGGTGATGGAGTTGGAGTTTGATAGTAAAATATAATCATAATAATGACTAATAATAAACTAATAATTTGTATAACTTGTGAGTACTATGTTCCAATTGTATTTCTTAACCCGTACGAAGCAGGGTACACGGGCAGCTAGTATATATATTTATTTATTTATTTGTTAATTTATTTATCATCCTAAAACTGTCTCGTTATGTATTTGGATTTTGTTTACGTTACAAGTCAGTAATAATTTCATTTTATAAATAAATGTTTTTTAAGTTTTTAAGATCCACTGTTTTTATACAAATTTTTAAAATTTATGTAACATAGCTCATTACATGAAGCTTGCTTCTGAAAAAAATGATTTAACTTTAGAAAATGGATCTGAAGCAAGTAAGATATTATACTAAAAATCATACACTAATATATATAGACGATTTGTTATATGTACCTAATAGTCAAGTTATCAGTAAATTTAAAATTATAGTTATTATCAATAGTTAAGAAAAGTGAACCGGATATGTAGAACAGTGTACATATCAATATAATATATAAATTAGCGACTTCTAATAATATAATCTAGGGAGAAATAGTCGGGTTTAAAATTATTCTAAATATTTTTATGGTACCTAGTTTAATTTAATTTTAATATTTTAGTATAGCAAAAATCTTCATTTGTTTATTCTAGATGCATTGGAGTATCTAATTGAGACAATGGTTGATGATATCAATGATGATCTTAACTACCAAGATTTCAGTAATCATAAGTATATTATAATTAAAAAAAATAAAGACAAGAGTAGAAAAAAATATTTCAAAATAATATAAAAAAATGCATGTCAAGTTTATCTTTATGCAATTGATAAGTGTCATAATTATTATATTTTTCACCGAAATCTAAATAAAAGCTTTATGAAAAAATACTGATGTTAGATCTAGGAACCTCGTCAGATAAATATATTTTATTCTCATCCCCAAAACTGCATCAATTCAGTCATTACATTTTATAAGGACTCCCTAGTCTATATAATATAATTTGTTTCTATTTTGACCTCGTCTTTTAATGTATAATTATACAATGTAATAATTTACTATAGCAAATCCAATTCAATATCATTAATTTATATAATGTTAATTTCAGGTAAAATTAATTTTTTGATCGCTGTACCGGGTAACAATTTTTGTTGAATTTTATAAAAAAAATTCTAATATTTCATTCCTATTGAATATTCGAAAGAGCATTTTATCGTATTGAATATACAGTAGAGTATATTTTTTCTGAGTTACTAATACACATGATTTTTCGACAGATTAGAGGGTAATAATTTTTTATTGCACTTTATGGAAGCGTTTCCACACAACTGTTTTTTATTCTTTATTCACACAAGATTTTTGTTTAAATTTTAGAACAACGAAATCTACCAATATTGCTAAGTAAAAACCCCATTTAATATTTCATATTTATTTTACTTATTCAATATTTATTAATTATAACTACTTTGAGAATACCAATTGAACCAACTAAAAAATACCAATATGACATATCGGTTTCAAAAATAAAAAATACGAATGTATATTAAAGTTTCTTTTGTTTTAGGAGCCAATCATTTCCTCGAAATAATGCTACAAGACATAGAAACTATAACACGTAAATATAAAATTTTAAAAAAATAGTTACATATTTTTGTAGTTACGATTTATAACATAATGCTATACATGTTTAATATTTAAGCTATTAAGAAACATTCGAATTAGAATTTAAAACATTTATTTAAACATCATTATAGAATATAAAATAATATTTTGCATTTATTTATATTGGTCTACTTAGTCTCAGTTATAGAGTGAATGATATGTATAAAATATGTCAACTGGGATTTATTAACTGCTTAATAATATTTTAATGTATTTGTTACAGAGATGACATTTTCAGGATATGCAAGACGTAATTACGAGTTTTTTTTATAGTAAATAGCCTCTATTTAGAGTTGATAATTGCTTCATATGTGATTTGATTTATTTATTTTGTATATCATATAACAATTTTAAAAAATTCGACTTTTTGTCGAGGAGAGAGGGAGAGAGAGTGAGACTTAGTAAAAATTTAAGGTGGTATTTTGGTTGTAAATTAAATAGAAAAATGAATATTATTTCACCTCATCAACCTTAAGTTGGTTATACTATTGATGTGAATTAAATTCTTTGAATTTCAAGTATACAAAGAATACTTTTGTTGAGTATCAACGCTAATAAGTGGTTGTATAAAAAGTTAGTTTTGTCACAATTCTTTGTAATGCAATGCAACAATTATGTATAAATAGCGACTAAAATATTATTTATTTTTATGATTTCCTCGGAACACGGGTCATTTAATAATCGTTTTCATAGAAACCGAGGAACTGAGCGTTATTGTAAATAAGAGAAGAAAATACGATTTTGAAGCTTTAAAAATTATAATTCGACGTCGTTTACTTGGTAAATATTTTTATATTAAGCTGTATGGTTTTTGAATACCGTCAAATAATTATGTATATATAAGTATTCTTCTTCTTGCGAGTGCCCTTGCGGCTCTATAATTTAAATATAAATATGCAGGGTGATCCAACTAACGTAGGACACTCCTTTTCTCGGAAAATATGAATATTTTGAGAATTTTTTTTCCCTAAACTTTTAGATACATATTTTACTTCATTTTCCAATATTTAGAATATTCTTATCTTCAACCCTTATATGTTAAACAAGCATATAGCATTTGGTTTTTTAAATGAAAACGTATGTTTTTAATTTTATAAATCTGTAGACAACATTTTTAAAACAATTTTAGCGTTTGAATTTCTAATTTTTAACTATCTGTTCGTTTGCTATGACTTTATAAAGATTTGAATTTAAAATCAATATTTGTTAGTTTATCTGCTATTAATAATTATATTGACCCTTATCGGTAATACTGTTTTGATAATCAGACATAAATAACCTTCGCTTCACTTTTTTTTTTATATTATGTGAACAATCGATTCTTTATCTACTTGCTCGGACGCAAAGGTCACCTAGTATAACCGTCATCCGTTCAAATGTCTTATCAGTAGACTGTACATTATCTAAACCCCTATTTGCATTATAAAGTATGATTATATTATAACGATGATATTATCACATTATCATTATCATTTTGTTGTAATTCGGCATCTGTATTTACTATTTAGTACATAACAAGACGACACATATAATTAAGCAATTTAATTTTAAAAAAATTATTATTAAATTTTAAATATTAAGTGTGCTACACATATTTTGTGTTGGCGTTCGACACAGCATACTATTCAACCGCGTTATTGTTAGTTTAAGCTTATGGGTTCATTATTATTATTGGTCTATTGCTCACCTGATTTTTATTTAATAAACTGTTCTAATTGTTCCATAAGATTACAAACAAATTTCTATTTTATTTTATACACTTCCACCTACTTATAACTTAACTGCAACGTATACGAATGTTGTACTTCTCAAATCTCACCCATAGTGCGTAACATGCGTGTCACATAAATTAAATATTATGGTTACATAATGCATCGGTTATTATTACCTGCATTTGTAACAATTTATTTCCTATTAAATTTCTTAGGGCAGCAAAATAAATTGAGGCACGGTGAGCTATTCAGAATATATTTTGCAACTAGAACGCTAATAATATTAACCATCGGTAGGTATAACTGTCTAGTGATATCATATACTACTACATTAATATAATATACTAACACTTAATGGTGTACATCACTTAGAGTACATGGAAACAATTCCTGAAAAAACCATTTAGGAACTACCGCTGCCAAAAATTATTAAAATATAGAAATAACGGCCAAGTCTCACACAAGGGCTTATCGGTATACAAATTGGCCGTATATTTATCACAAAATAATTAATTAATCCTTTAGTATTTAAATAAATGGTTGTAGTATAAATGATTAAAAAATCATTATGACCATTATATAATAAAAAAAACTAATCGTCAAAAAGGAAAAGTTATTAACGTTATAACCTTGTGCTGAAAAGCAAAATACGACAAACTATTAATTTTCGTTTCTTAAAAATGTGTAGGTACATAACTAAGAAAATATAAGCCAAATCACATACTAGTTATTTATTAATTTTTTCAAACAAATATATACATACAAATAAATATTAAAACATTAAATTTAAATTACTACTAAAAGCACACTGCGAATGTCTTATTAAATCATACAAAATGTTACTAATATAGCTTTTTTAATCAACCATTAATATTCAAAAAGAAATACTTGATATAAAATGTACAA